GAAACTGATAAACTGATCAATTTTATTTAATGTCGACTCCGATCGGATCTAAAAACCGACAATTTGACAACTTTAAATGTGCTATTTTATGAGAAGAACCAAGATGTCCGTTTACAGGAGACTTTTTACCAATGAACTGAACCTTATAGTCGCTTTCTAGAACCTGGTTCACCTGGGTTTGGATCCGATGAAGCCGTTCTGCTGAGCTTCGGGTTTTAATCCTCTAAATGTTTGAATTGTTAGCCGTTTCTCAGCTTCAGTCCTTTCGGTGATGAGACGATGACGAGTCGGAATCGGTCTCTGTCTGGTTCTGGTGGCTGGTTCTGATCCACGTTCTGGGGTTCTGCTCCGGTCCAGCAGAACAGCGAGGCTTTTTCGGTTGAAGACATCGAGGCATTTGTCTGAGAAGGGCAGAAATATTATTTCAGTAATCAATTATTCTGACAACTAATTGGATAAAAAAAATCTTTTATACACTAGAAATGCATCAAAAAGATGAACAAACAAATTGCTACTGTTGTGTTGCTTGAAATGCAACAAAATTATATATTTTTGCACCATTTTGGATAATTTATTGATCTGAATATGTTGTTGTTTTAGGAAATGACCTTTTTTGAGTTTATATTCCAGTTCAAAAATGGATTATTGAATTAGTTGATCATTTAATTAACTGATTAATCTGATAATTTTGCTGGAGTTGTTGAATTAAAACTAATATTTTTGGTTGTTGCTAATTCAATTAGAGATTCAAACCTGGCTGTTATTTCAAATTTGCAATAAAGTCCCTTAAATGGGTAAAATCTTCATGCTATTTTTGAGACCTGGTTGTTATAAAACATTTTTTTCTCTGGTCTATTTGCGTTCAGGGCTTGCTACGGCGTTCTGAGATTCATCATGGAGAGCGGCGCCAAGGGCTGCGAGGTCGTGGTGTCTGGGAAGCTGAGGGGTCAGAGGGCAAAGTCCATGAAGTTCGTGGACGGCCTGATGATCCACAGCGGAGATCCCGTCAACTATTACGTCGACACGGCGGTTCGCCACGTCCTGCTGAGGCAGGGTGAGTAGCGGCCCATTTCCTGTTGAAACTGATGAAATACCTTCACTTTCAAGGTTTGGAAAGTGCTTGATTTCTGCATAAGGTCCTGGAAAGTTGTTGATATTCAAACTGCAAGATTCACTAATTGATGTTTTTATCGTACAGAGTCGGAACTTCAGGATCTGTTTTCAGGAACAAAGAGAACATGCAAAACAATCAGAATAACTATTATTTTAAAAATATGTAATTTTAATATTATTAAAATGTATTTTTAAATGAAAAATGTTATTTTCTCTCAGTCAATAAAGTAATTTTGAATTTGAATAATAAATAAATAATTTAAAAAATGTGAATAATACAAAAACATTGTTTTAGAGATTTTTTTGTAACTTTTTTGTATTTAATTTGAACATTTAATTTGAGCAGGAATGTAATTTACCTTAAGATTTGTTTGGATTGTAATGAGTATTGATTATTCCTAATAAATCAATGACTTATTGATTTGTCATTGGTATAAAGATCAGCTTGTATTTTATACATTAAACTAGGGCTGCTTTAAACTAATATTTTAGTAATCTATTGATTATTCTAACGATTAATCAAGTAATCTGATAAAATAAAATATTGATAAATTTGTCATAACACCAGTGTTACTATAATCAATATCATTAACAGATGAATTCTCACTTTATGAATGACAGTAAATGAGATATAATGGTGAATTGAAACTCTTCGTTCATTTGTTTTGTTGCTGTAAAAGTTTCCTTGCCTTGAAATGGGTTGAATTTTTCTGCATGAGAAGAAAAAATGAGTTGTTGTGAGACTAGCAAACCCTGAATCGTTGTTGTTGTTTTTTTTTTCCTGTTGTTGTTGTTCAGGTGTGCTGGGCATCAAGGTGAAGATCATGCTGCCCTGGGACCCCAGCGGTAAGATCGGCCCCAAGAAGCCGCTGCCCGACCACGTCAGCATCGTGGAGCCCAAGGAGGAGAACCTGCCCACCACACCCACGTCAGAGCAGAAGGGGGCCAAACCCGAGGTGCCCGTCATGCCCCAGGGAGTCGCTGTACCCACCGCATAAGAGGGTGAGGAGAGTCGGAGCGTTCTTATTTGCAGTTTTAATCTTTAAAGTGTTTGAATTTCTTTATCTTTCAAGAAACAAAAAAAAACACTTGGGAGCTACTGTTAACTTTTTAGTTTATGTAGAAATAAAAGATTTCTGGATCCTCTCAGTGTCAGGTGACTGAAAAATGGCTCCCACTGTAATAATATTCATTCAATAATTTTACAGAAGGGAAATCTAAAAAAAATTTTTTTAAATTGATCAGGACCGCATCATCAATTATTTAATCTATTGACAATCTGGTAGGCACATTCTGCAGAGTTTTATTTAACCACTAAAGACTTTTGGAAAAAATATTAGAAATGCATTAAAACATGAAATTCAATCAATTTTTAAAGAAGAAAATAAATGTTTTATTCTCTAAAATGCAATTAAAGCATTCCTTTAATCAGAACAAGGTGAAGCTAAAACTTATTGATGAGTTTTGGTTAAAACATAAATGTAAAATATATATGCATTTATAATCAAATACTACATTAATTAACGGTTTTCTCAATAATCGATTCATTGTGATTAATCGTTTGAAATGAATCAGCTGAACTTGGGAAATTAAAGATGGTATTAAATGTCTCCAGTAGGAGGCGCTCTCATCCCATCAGTCCTACAGGTAGAGTTGGATGAAATGCATTTAGATTGGGGTTAAAAATAAATGCAGTAGTTAAAGATGCCCTATCAATATGCAATATCAGCTTCTCCTGTGAAAACACATTAACCTTTTTCAGCTTTAATAAAATGATGCATAAATAGAGATTTTCTTCTGTTTCAGACCTTTGGAGACAATAAAAACATTTCTGAAAAGCTAAACCGACAAGTGAAAACAAACAAATCCATAAATCGGTTCCAGACATAAAAAGTCCAATTAGTAATTAAAACTGAGTTTTAAGGAAAATGTTTGTTTTTATTAGTATTTGTTTACGTCCCTTCCTTGATGAGACGATGACGAGTCGGAACCGGTCTGTGTCTGGTTCTGGTGGTGACCGGTTCAGTTTCCCGTCCTGTGGTTCTGCTCCGGTCCGTCAGACCAGCCAGGTCGTTTCAGTTGAAGACATCGAGGCATTTGTCTGAGAAGGGTTGAAAACGCCGCGTTTGTTGAAAATGTGCAAAAATGGAGACAATTTCTGCTCAAAACTAGAAAAATCGAGGAGTTCAGAATTTACTGAACTGTCAATTATTTTATTTGATGTGAAATTCTGAGTGAAACTGGGTTTTAATTTATATATCTTTTTGCTTTTGCAGGTTTTGAACCGTTCTACTGGATGGGTTGAAGTCTCTGGCATTTTTGTGTACAAAAGAATAAAATCTGGAAAATACACTTTTTGACTTTTGGTCTTTCTTTCAAATCCTTAGCATTTCAATGGGGCTGTAAACGCATCACAGTTCATATCAGCTGACATCGGTAGTTATTCAGTTGGGGATTTTGTTTGTTTTAAATATGTGAAATGCTGCCAAACTGGCGGCATTTGTCTGCTTATCCAGTTTCCACTCCCACCATTTTTGTCTTTGTATTTCACGTCTTTTTACACAAACACAAAATGTATGTCCACGTTTATTGTTATTAAACAGCCATCACTGTTGGGACGAATGTGATGACAAATTAAAAAACAAAGCCGATCATTTTAAGCTGTTATTAGCTTCGCTGGCCGTGAGAAGTTAAGCGGTTAAACCGTTTCCTTTGCAGATATCCCAAAATTGCTCTGCGGTTTGTGGTCAGAGTTCAGTGAATATCCTGTCATCGCCATATATTTTATTGTCTAGTCCTGCTTCTCAGGTGTAAAATATATATATTAGTGGGTGTAGGGATATAAAGAATCGTCTGAGGTCGTCTTCATAATTCAGTAAAGCTGTTAATGAAAACAGCATGTTGGCTGGAGGTAAACAGTTTGGCGAAGCAGAAAGGAGTTGAGATGCTTCACTTGGGTTTAATTTGTTACAACATTAAGTTGGTAAAATAGCTTCTGAACAAAATCAGTGGTGATACCTGCAAACTTCTTGGCGGAGATTAATGCATCTGCATCCCAGGGAATAGCATATGAGCATAATTTATTAAACTGATCAGGAATAATTAAGTAATCAGTATTTTTAACAGTCATTACAGAATTGTAGATGTCATTTTATGGGCTGTGAATGAAAGCTGGATTACCTGGAGAAAACCTGCTGATGAATACGGAGGACATGCGGAAACATCCCAGGACAAAATCAAACAAATTATTAATACTTAAACAGGTTGTATTTCAGGCTACCTTCACTTATTATTTAAAAAAAGCTGTATATATGAAGTGTAACTTCAGAGGCCTCTGTCTCTTTAAGAAATTCCTGATCTTCTCATCTCTATGCCTTCAGAAAATCATTACAACAATGCTCCTCATTATGCCGTTTACAACCGCTCTTAGAAGTTGTTTTGCTAATTGCTCCTGCAGCTAGTTTGAAGGGTCTGAGCGGGGAAATCTTATTGCTGTTTAAATCTATGATGAACACTCAAAGTTTTTATATAGTAATGAAAAATATACTTTTCAGTGACTTTTCATACTGAGGTGCGTTAATTTGATCAGCTTCTTAAAATAGTACTCCACATTTTTGTAATGATAGAAAATTTCATCACAAATTAACACTAGTGAAAAAGTAATTAATTCAAAGAACTTAGCATCTATTCAAGTGCAATTTTTATGTATTGTGTCTGCTCCGTGTCTTTTTGTTGTGTTTATGAGTAAATCTTAGTAATTGGTTGCTGACGTGATTTTCATTGTCCGCTGAGATGCTCCTCAGACCGGTTTCTAAAAATGCAGCAGAGTGAGACCTCTTCCCAGCGTCCCAAAGTCCCCGGCTGGATCCGGGTTAGGCCACGCCCCCTGGCTGCCACCTGCTCGGCTCCTCGGTCCCACCTGGCCTTTCAGAGGACCCAAGATGAGTCTGCCGGACTGCAAACCACCTGGTCGACAACCTTCATCCGTCCCGTCGGTAGGAAATCTTACTGATGAATCGCGATGATTTTAGCTGTTTTCGGGTTGAAGCTGGAAGTTTTACCTGTCCGAGGGACAGACAGGTGTGTGTGTGGAAGTTCAGATCGGATCGCATACAGGTCTCACTATTTATATTAGTTTGTGCACAGTGACGCGGTTGGGTGCAAATTATACAGTATTTGTAGAGTAGATTACCAGTTATTGATAAGTTTGGTGATTTAACCAAACGTATCCTTGATTGATAACATCTGACTGAGTTGGAGTCTCGTCAAATCAGCGGAGAACAAGTTTGTCGACTCACGTGAGGCTCAAGCAGGAATGAGCTACCAGTAATACTCAAGTTAAATGACTTCAACCTCTGATTGTTGTTCATTTTTAGTTGATAATCCTGCATTGGAGGTAAAAACGTGCTGTTTCTTTGCAGCACATTTTGCAGCTGTCTTGACTCAGTCTTACAGTTTCACAGAGCTAAAAGACAAATGGCGCCCATGGCTTTTCCAAATCTGGTCTTTATGGCCTAAAACAATTATATGAAGAGCACAAAAACATTTAACCTCAAATAGATGTAAGAATGATTTGAATCGCCCAGCTGTATGGAAAGCCAAATGTGCCTCAATTCCAAAAGGAACGTTAAAAAAAAGCAACAAACATAAAACAGTCTATATTCATATATAAAAAAGGTACAAACTATTATTTAAATCTAGAATTTATTTCATAAATGTCTTTATGGTCTCGTGCTGCAGAACGTCATGAACTTGTTTTCTCATTGTGTTCCCTTGCAATAAATGCTTGCAAGTAAATTCTGGTTTATTTTATGTACACACTAGTTGCCTTTCCTTTGACCTTCAAACTACAAAAAATTGAGTTAGCTTAATAAAAACCCATCAGTGGAAACACTTTTTTGTTTCACGAGTGATTATGTTTTGAGTCTCAGGATGTTACTGCTGGCCGAAAAAATGAAGAAGACGACAGGAAGTGATCTGAGGATGATGGTATAGAGTATTTTAGTATATGCACGATCACCAGCAGGAACCAAAACGACCAGCAGATGGCGGTATTACCCCGTTAATCTAATTAATGAGACAAGTAGCTTCGCAGAGAAATACTAGTTTCACTAGATTATTTCACTTATAATAATCTGCCACCCATGTTTAAAGTGAAAAAAATCTGCCATTGCAACTAGAACGTTTTCCTCAATACTAAGAAAGTTTGATTTAAAACAAGTCCTTATATCTTGTTGAAAAGTTACTTGTAAGTTAGTTATGTCTTATAAAGTAAACATTTGCACTAGAAGCTGCTTTTCAATACAATAATAATAACAACAAAAGAAGCATTTTACTATATATTTGATTCAAATTTTAACTACTTTCACCAATTCAATTATTTAATTAAGGAAGAACTTCCCTAAGTGAAGAACTTTTGAATGTTTCATTATTTATATTAAACAAATGTTTGCGGTTTCATTAAATTGATCACATAACTATAATAAGTTATAATTTGTGGATTTACTCTGAGACTTTTATTGCAATATTATCTGGAACTTGTTGTAAGAATAAAACAATTGGGATGATTTTAGAAGCAGCTGAAACCCAAATGGATTATAAAAAGGTGTAAAATGTTCATTTTAACCTCCTTCAATGCATCATAAATACACTGAATTGATTCTGTCTGGTTGTTTTAACACTCTTTGTGATTGTTTTCCTACCTCAGCACTCTCCTGTGGTTCAGCTAAATGTCGGGGGTCACCTGTTCAGCACCACACTGAGCACGCTCAGAAGACACCCGGACTCCAAGGTGGCGGAGCTGTGCGGCTCTCAGCCCAAAGTCAGCGCCGACGGTCAGGGACGCTACTTCATCGACCGCGACGGTTCCCACTTCGGAGCCGTTCTGGAGTTCCTGAGGTCGGAGAAGCTGCCGACGAAAAACATCCGGGAGGTCTGAGGCGATGAAGAGTTGTTTTTAAATCTCTCTGTAATAGGATTGCAACGATTAATCAAATCAATCAATTATTGGAATAATCATCAACTGATTCAGTAATTAATCATTAACTGGAGTATACAGACTCAAAACAGGGTAACTGTTGAAAGAACAAGAACCTGAGAGCAGCAATTGAGTCAAAAATGTACAAAAAATATAAACATTTTGCATTTAACCCTTCTCTACCTAGATTTCCTCGAGTGACAGTTTCAGCTTCATCTGCAATTTGCTATGAAGCACTTTTTTCTTATTAGTTGGTCAACCCAAAAATAATCAATAAATCAACCCTACACTGTATTGATAAGTCAAGCAGAAAAGCTGTTCAAATGTTGATGTTAGAAGTATTTCTTTTAAAATGGACCTACAAATAAAAAGAATGCAATGTTATTGCATTTTTATGCAATAAAATGTTTATTTTCTTATGTAAAAAAAAAGCTGAATTATGTTTAACTGCATTTCTAAATATATTTCTAATATTCTATAAATTAAGCATGAATGTTGATGTGAATCTGCAAAATGTGCCACTTTATGATGTTATAATGTAAAAACAGAATTTTTTTAGCTTTACATCATGTGATAATGTACTTTTATCAAAAACACACCTACAGTGTTGCACTGGTTCTTTTGTGCATGTTTGAGAAATCCTTTAATCTCCATGGCAATCATTCAGCTGTAAAAATGCCTTCCCAGAGCTGCAGTTTTCAACCGTCTCACAGAGCAGCCTTCTCCCACTCTACTCCTTCAGACTAGCCAGCAGCAATTAGCAAACGCCTAGTGGAATGAGCTCATTATAGGAGCTACTTCTCAGTGAAACGTCGGTAAAAATGTTGTGAAGAGGTTAATAGAGTAGCCTTGTGGGATCCTCCTGAAGGTGGAGTTTTTAAAGAGACAGAGGCCCAATTTCAAGGTGTTCAATTACAACAGAAGCTAACATAGTTACTTGATCGAGCTGGAAAATGGCACGATGTGCCTGGAAAACACATAATTCTGCCCCTTTAAAATTAAAAATCTGCAGAATCACCAGAATAATCAATAAATGAATCAATAGCTAATATAACTGTTAGCTCCAGCCCTGCATTGTAACCCGTGTGTGTGTTCAGGTGTATACAGAGGCGGTCCACTATAACATCAAGCCGCTGATCAAACGTCTGGAGGAGACGCCTGAGCTGTTTGGGGAGCTGGTGGGAAGACAGCAGTTCCTCTCCAGAGTCCCGCACTACAAAGAAAACATCGAGGTCAGCTGCTTCCTGTTTTTAACTCTGCTCCTTTTATCCCAGAACCATCTCCTCTTTACTTCTTTTTTTTTTCCTCATATAGCCAAGTGAAAGTTTACACTTGCAGCAACCTCAGTCAACCAAAGTGGTTCCTGACAGGTAGCCGAGTGATAAAACAAGAAACATTAAGTTTGATAAAGACAAATAATAATAAAAACAAAATAAAATAAATAGTATGAATAAAAATCAAGACTCACTCAATTTCAGCTGCAACAATTTCCCCAAAACTTTAATCAATTAAGTACAAATTTACCCCCTTTTTTAACTGTTCTGTTCATTGTTGTCATAGCAACATGCCATGACCGCTACTTAGGAAAGAGTATTTTTATTTTATTCTACTCTAGTCCATTTAATTAATAAAAGAACCACGTAAGGTTTTTATACGACTTAATAAAATTAATTTACAATTAGCTGCACATTACCACAAAGCTAATGTGTATCATTAATTATCCAATTATAGCCATTAATTGAATAAGTAACTATTTGAGTTGCAGTTATTTCATAAACTTTGTTAGCATTTGATAGGATCTATTTCAAAACGGAGTATTTGTGGCCCTTTAATAGAATGGACTCTATATCCCATGATGCTTTAGAATCCGTAGAAGAAGAACTTGAATTTAGACGAAGAAGACATTTTGGAGCTCTGGGAAGAAAAAGGGCTAACATAGCTATGTTAGCCGAGTTCCTACACTCTCTCGTATATAATTCTGTTTGATTCGTTCATCCTTTTTATTCCACTCGTTTTTGAATTTGTCGAATATTCAACAAGCCCTTAGAAACGTTGAAATCTTCCGTTAGGTTCTGATCCGTATTGCCAGAGCGGAGGCCGTGGCCGCGCGCCGCTCCACCATCCTCATCTGCGTCATGCGCACTGAGGAGGACCTGGGTTTCTATGACAACGCCGTAAACAGCCTGGAGGCCGGAAAGGAGTGTGCGGTGACGTTCGGGCCGTGGAAGGCCGAGCCGTCCGTCAGGGACCTACTGGACTGCGTGAAGATGGACATCGAGAGTCGCGGCTACAACGTCAGCATCGAGGCGCACGCGCCCGAGCGCGGCTTCCTGTCCAAGAGCTACGACTTCTTCTACCAACTCACCTTCACCTGGTGGTGACGAGGCGCCCGCGAGCTGCCCGTGGGTTCACACTTTATCATAATGAGCTGCACCTTCTGGTTTTCTTACGGAATAATGTTCAATCGAAATAAAATACACCCATCTTTTTTTTTAAAGGGATTTGTTACACAAAATTACTTTTTTTTTTAACTTTAATTTTTGTTTCCAATCCTAAAACCATCCAAAGTGGTGAATTTTGGGAATAAGCTAATGTTTGTTGTTGTTTTTTTGGTCTCTGGAAAATAAGCCATTAAAAAGCCCAACTCCCAATTGTTAAAGTGACAGTATGTAACTTTTATAAAATATATGATTTTAAAATATTTGTAAAAACCATGACTTGACAATAGACAGAGAATGTGATATAAAAAAAAAACATCGATCTCCTCCACCTTCTTTCTGAGCTATGATTAGTATCTGAAGAATCTTTCTCATACTCTCAAGATATAGTGACAGTGTCAACAGATATTTAAAAATATATATTTGTTATAAAGTTATATAGCAACAGCGCTGCGCTGTTGCCTAGCAACCCAAGCTGAGATCCAGCACGTTTGGTCAGCTGGTTTACCACTGACCAAGACAATTGTTTCGTCGACTTATTCAGAAATGACTGTCTGCATTCTAGTTGGATGCGCAGGAAGCTCCACTTCTGCTTTTCAAAGAAGTACGGTTGTATAATTGTCCAGCCATTTTCATGTGCAAGTGTAAATGTTGAGATTTCAAAAGAGAATGGCCAGGTAAGCAGCTTATTTGGATTTAAAGTGACAAGAGGCCTTAAAACAACTAAAACTATCTTGGCACAAAAACATGAAGAACATGTTTTGTGTAGGCCACAGCTTTATCCAAACCTTTTCAAGGAAGCGTAATTGGGTACTTGGGCGATGTTCGTGCGAAATGTTTTATGTCCGTCGTTTTGACGTCAGTCCCACAGTCATCCTATTCAAAATGTGTCGCTGACATCACACAGGTGTTTATTTCACCGCTTTGAACATTTTCACAGCTTTCTGAGGGGATTTCACTTTCTGCAGACGAGACTGCGTCAAACCCCGGACGCTGGGCAATCCGTCGCTCACTCACTGATGAGCCGAAATGTGTGAAGAGCCAAAAGATGAACCGTAAGCAGAGCAGCTGCCCCGGCGTCGACCACATAGCATTTAAAAGCTGCCAAACCACATCCTGTCAGGATGAGTGGGGGCAGAAACCTGCTGGTGTCCAACGGGGCCTTGAATGCATCACCCGCCTTTATTCTAGAACAAGACAGCAGGTCCTTTAGGTGAAAGGGGAAATCACAGAGTCTGAATGTTGATTCAAATGTTTCAGTGGAGGAAATAAATGTATCATGGTGTCTGTTCTGCTGATTTAGTGTTTTTAGAAACAGTTAATAATGAATGCACAGGCTTTGAAAACATACAGACACTTTGACTTAAAGGATCAAGAATAAGTGTCATAATGAAAGTTTTACTTTCCAGTCAAAACGCCATCAGTGAAAAATCCTGAACTGTTTGTAAAAAACAAACAGCATTTTCACTAAAAAAGAATCTGAATGTGTTGCATGTAATGAAATAAAGTTCATCGCAAAGTCAAAAGTTTTTAAGAGAAAAAAGCACATAAAATAATTTTTTTTTTTCTGTCATAATGGATCCAAAGCTTGAACGCATTTTCCACATTGGCTGTTTTAAATCAAGTTTAATACAAAAATAAATCAAGTTTTTTTGGATTTCATTGAACAAGCAGGATTTGGTTCACTTTTTTCAAAACATTTGCTATATTAATTATTTAAATAAATAACTGTCTTGGTTGCAGCAAAATTGCCTTTTCAGTAAAGAGACATAGTTCTACACTCAAAGATTGGTTATGAAAACATGTAAATACTTTGTGTTGTGCTTAAAATTATGTTAATTTAAAAATAAAAAGTCTCCATCTGCATCAAATGCCTTTTCTTGATGGGACAGGGTTGCAGTTTGGAGGCCATAGAAAATCAGTCCAAGGGCCACAAATGGCCCCCGGCCCACATTTTGGACACACCTGCTTTCATATAAAACACCTCAATCCAAACATTTTGTATGGAAACCATCGATACGGCGATCTGATTCTCCCACAAAGAAAAATCCAGAGCTTGTTAGGAAATATTCAGATTCTCAAAAAGCTTCTAAATTGGCTGTTAAAATGACACAAATTCTAGTTTCTAGTTGAGCAGTGACATGACATAAAACAATGTTTAATATTTGTTTCTATTGCTAGTCCAGCATTGCAGATCCAGTCCCTGGTTGGATTTTTGAAATGAATAATATAAAAGAATCATTTAAACCGGCAGATATGAACAAAAACAGCTTTGTGCCACTCAACCTGTTGAGTTCAATAACATTTCTGCTAAAGAATAAACGTTACATGAGAACTTCGTTCAGACGGTTACATTTATATATTTACATGTTTTTATATACAGATTTGGGTAGTAACTAGTTACATTTACTTGAGTGACTTTTTTAAAAGAAATCATTTTCTTTTAGGAGTATTTTTACTTTTATTTGAGTCATTTTATGACGTATTTCTACTCTCACTTGAGTGACATTTTTGGATTTTCTTCCCATTGAATGAAAAACAAAACGTGTTTTAACCAAAAATTCACCAGACTCAGAAACCACAGCTGCAGGTTTTGCTAAAGTTTTGTCAGTTTTTTATTGAAAAAAAAAAACTGATTTGGAAACATTTTATTTTGCCTGATTGTGTTAATTTTTGTTTTTTTATATATAATTTGTTGCCATTTTTGGTCCTTAAAATACCAAAGTTTCCACGTAACTTTACATTTTGGTCCGTTTGATGATGTTAAAATTTCTAAATATTAAATGATTGGTAATTTGATCAGTTACTGAGTACATGAGTAGACTTTTTACAAAATACTTTTTACTTTACTTGAATAAAAATAAGTGCGACTCATACTTGAGTTCAACTTGGGTACAAAAATTCAACATTTTGATGAATTATCAAAAACTCATCAGAATCTTTTCTCATCCTTTATTTGGCACCATGCTATTTTTAATAAAACAATAATTAAAAAAAATATTTGCACCAACCCTGCAGGACTAACAGTAAAGCCTCATTTCAGTCAAAACTAAACATGCAAATGATGCTTAAATACGATGGAAAATCCTGCAAACCAGCATTAATACAGTTTTCCAATACAGCATAGTCAGCTTTGCAGGATATAGTTGTTATTTTTTTGTTTTGTTTAGTTTTTTAATCATACACCCAATATTATAGGTCAAATCAAGTTTCCACAGAGCATCAGTGTTGCCGGCTACATACAGTGTTTTCACCACAACGTGTCACAGTTACACTTCCTAGAACAAAGGAAGGATAGAGGCAGAAAAGATGCAAACGTTAGCATTTCACACCTCAGACCAGAAGTGACACTTGAGTAACAACAACAAAAGAGATCAGAAGATTTTTTTATTTTTTATTTGAGTATAATAAATGCCAGTTCTACCAACATCCTGTCACATCACTGGGCTACAGCAGACTTTCCAAAGAAAACCAAAGGTCAACAGCTAAAGGCAGTTCTTATATTTCTCTTTTGCTTTATCATAAGAAAGTGGATAAACTAATGTAAAATATTCAAAATAAGTGTCATGATCTTTGTGAAGTGGTGTTGTGTTAGAGAAATGTGAAAATCCTAACATTTAAAACTAGATTCTGTCCAATGTCAACAGAATGTGTTTGATAAGATCTGATCTTTGACCACAAAGACGTTTCAGACGAGGAGATGAAGAAATACGATTAATATCACAATGCGTAACAAAAGGTTTCATACGCTCAGTTATTTACCTCACACTTCCACCAAGTAGTGCATGATTGAAAAGTGGAAGAAGAACAAAAAATTCAAAGGTTTTTGTACAAATAAAAGCTGAAAAGTGTGGCATGCTTTTGTTTAAAATGCTCCTTCACTGTAATTACAGCTGCAGATCTTTAGGGTAACATCTCCAGCCTTTCTCATCTGGAAACAAAATCTAGTTTCTATTTTGTCTTCGTAAAGTCGCTCCAGTTCGATCAAACAGAATGAAAAGTGTCTGAAAACAAAAATGTTCAAGTCTGGCTACAGATTATTTTGTTGGATTTTGCTCTGCTTGTGAATTCAGGGTCGTAGTCCTTTAAAAATACATTTCTTTCCCCCCCAATCTTGAACAGGTTTTGTTTCAGTAAATTCCTGTTTATGCTTAAGAAAAGTGTTCCCACAGCATAACGCAGCCACAACCGTGTTTCAATGCGGGGATGGTGAGTTCAGGACGATGTGTTGCTACTAGTGTTTATTTACTTTAATTCGTTTCTTCTTCCTGCTTCCCAGTTGTTGTCTCTTATGAAATCCCAGTCAGACACATTTAAGTTTCTGGTTGTTACGTCAGAAAGTTAGAAAAGTTAAGAATGTTAATTTGAAGAGAGGTGTAATTATTTCCAAAATACCAAAATGGGAATTTTTTAAGTATAATTAAAAAATATAAGCATAAAAAATTCAGATTAATTTAACTCAATGTTCCGCTTTAATTGCAAAGTTAAAAGAATAAAAGAAGGAAGTAAAACTAAGAAATAAATAGATTTTAGTTTCTTTGATTTAGCATTCAGTTATAATTTTATGATAATCACAACTTATTACTCTTATTATAATCATAATGTGAGTTACTACAGATGTTCTGAAAAGAAACCAGGAATTATCTATTAGTGTAATTATTTGATACCAAAGTTATAATTACTTGTTTTACTTGTAAGTTTTCCCACAAGTGTGAGTGTAAATGTAAGTATTGTTATAAGTAAACCAATATTAATATAAGTACTTTACTTTAAATCTTATCTAATTACTCAAAATGTTTAGATTTCATCCTTTAAAACTTTCAAGCTTTGAAACAAGGAATAATCTCAGCTGGAAACTTGCTTCCTCTTCCTGTCTCATTTCTCTCTGACTGATTTCTTATGATTAGATAGAAAAAAATAAGTAAAATTAAAGCAAAGTTTTCAGGAGACAAAAACAACAAACCCAACCAGATTTATTGTATCGCAGTCTGGGTCTACTTGGGTCCAGATGTCACTTGTGTGATTAATGTTAAAGGGAAATTTATTTATTGTTACTGTTGAACTAAACCTCCAGCATGGGGAAGTGGGATGATCTGGGATGTTCGCCGTCAAATGAAAGACAATAAAAACGTGAAAATTATTTCTTAAAGCCAAATTGATGCTGACGAACATTTATTTATTTGTTTTTAACATATTTGCATTTAATGGACTCTGGGCAGAGATTTGCTTAGAATAATAAGATGACACTTCGCTCACTGCACTGCAAAAACACACCGTTGATTCTAGTTTCTAGTGCAAATTTACACTTGAAATACAACAAAACTGACTTACAACTAACTTCTCTGCAACAGTATTTAGTAAACAGTTCCTGTATAGATTTTTATAAAGTACTAGATTAACTTGCAAATAATTTCATTTTACAGGACATGTAAAAATTTTGGTTGCTAGGTAACGGGGCTGGGGTTGCTAGGTAACAGGGCTGGGCTTGGCTGGGGTTGCTAGGTAGCGGGGCTGGGGTTGCTAGGTAACGGTGCAGCAGAATATGCAACGTTTTCATGCATATTAAGAGATTAAAACAAGCTGCTGTATCGTTCTGAAAAGTTACCTGTAAGTTAGTTTTGTTGCATTTCAGGTTTAATGAGAAATTTGAACCAGAAATGTGTGTGTGTGTGTGTGTGTGTGTGTGTGGGGTGTGTGTGTGGGTGTGTGTGTGTGTGTGTGTGTGCGTGCGTGTGTGTGTGGGTGTGTGTGCGTGCGTGTGTGTGTGGGTGTGTGTGGGTGTGTGTGGGTGTGTGTGTGTGTGTGTGTGGGTGTGTGTGTGTGTGTGTGTGTGTGCGTGTGTGTGTGTGTGTGTGTGTGCGTGCGTGTGTGTGTGGGTGTGTGTGTGTGTGTGTGTGTGTGGGTGGGTGCGTGCGTGTGTGTGTGTGTGTGTGTGTGTGGGTGGGTGCGTGCGTGTGTGTGTGTGTGTGTGTGGGTGGTGGGTGCGTGCGTGCGTGTGTGTGTGTGTGTGTGTGTGTGGGTGTGTGTGTGTGGGTGTGTGTGTGCGTGCGTGTGTGTGTGTGTGTGCGTGCGTGTGTGTGTGTGTGTGTGTGTGTGTGTGTGTGTGTGTGTGTTGTGTGTGTGTGTGTGTGTGTGTGCGTGCGTGCTTGTGTGGGTGTGTGTGTGTGTGTGTGTGTGCGTGCGTGCGTGCGTGTGTGTGTGTGTGTGTGTGTGTGTGTGTGTGGGTGTGTGTGTGTGGGTGTGTGTGTGTGTGTGCGTGCGTGTGTGTGTGTGTGTGGGGGGGGGGGGCTGGGGGTGTGGTGTGTGGGTGGGTGTGTGTGTGTGTGTGTGTGTGTGTGTGTGTGTGTGTGTGTGTGTGTGTCTCAGAGAGGATGCTGCCGCCCTGCTGTCCGGCAGGCTGCAGGTGATGCCGCCGTCCCGTTCGCTTCAGTTTCACACAGGAAGTGCGAAGCTGCTTCTGCTTTCTCAAGAGTGTTTGTTGCAGAGCAGCTGAGAGGCAACAAGAGCGGCGGCGCAGAGGTTGAATCATGAATATGATGGGGATACAAATCTTTATCCGACTCCTGCTGCTCACATGTCTGCTCCAAACAGGTAGGATTCTTCATTTTGGTCTCATCTGATCAGGTTTTATGGTCTGGGTTGGAGTTTTTAAAGAGTTTTTAAAGGTTTTCCAAATGGACTAAACTTTTGTTACATCTTAAATGTACAAATGTATTTTTCTGATATTTGTTTTAACATGTTATTATAATATTAAATGTTGTGTTTTTATTATAATTGATAGCAATAAAGGCGCCAATGTGCGTTTTCAGTGTATACGCTACAAAAACACAAACTCTTGCCAAGCATTATTGCTCTAGTTTCTTGTGCAAATATCTTATTGCACTTAAAATAAGACAAAATTAACTTAAAAGTAACTCTTCCACAAAATATAGGAGCTTGTTTTAAGCCAATAATGCCTCAATACTGTTAAAAAATACATGTTTTGTTGGCAGATATGGTCACTTATAACATGGCAGATTATTTCATCATTGAAATAATCTGCCAGAATTGACCAATATTAAGGAATTACTGACTTAAAATAAGCTCCTGTTACCTTGCAGAAAAGTTACTCATAAGTTAGTTTTGTGTAATAAGACATTTGCGTAGCAAAGTTTTAGGGTTAGACTAAGAAAAAATAACAGAATAAAGTCACAATATTATGACTACTATTGAAATACTGTGACAATCTATGGCTCGGATGTGCAATTGTACCTCTGCAGGAGAAGCGAGACAAAAATACTGATAATTTTGTGTTTTTTTTAGAGTTCAACATGTTACAGCAAAAACACAAAATCTTAATTAGTATTTTTGTTCTAGTTTCTACTGCAAATATCTTACAAATAACTTGCAAGTAACGTTTTAGCAAGATGTAGGAGATTGTTTTTTTAAAAATAATTTCTCCATTACAGCAATACATTTTCCAATGTTAAAAAGTCAAATATCTGCCTGTGGAACTAGAACTTTTTAAAATCAATGTTAAGAAATTATTGACTTACATATTGAAAATTATTGGCTCTTAAATAATTCTAAAAAGTTACTTATAACTTTGTTTTGTCTTATTTCAAGTGCATAAATGTCTTGCACAAGATATTTTTGTCAAATCCATAGTAAGATTTTCTGTTTTTGCAGTTAACTTAATGAATTGAGTTGCTTCTGTAAATTAATTTTCCAATGTAATTAACTTTATTTTCTAAGATCATTAATTTAAGTTGTGTTCCTGGACATCCTGGCGTAATGCTGCCTCCTGTTTTGCCTCCAGGTGTGAGGAGTGTGAAGGACTCCATGTTTGTTTACAGCAGAATCGGCGCCGTTGCCCTGCTGCCCTGCACCAAACCGGCCCCAGCCGGCTGCTCCTCCATCACCTGGACCTTCTTCAGAGGCGGCCTGGTCCGTTACAGCCAGGAGGTGACCGGAGGGCGGGTCAACCCTGACTCGGACAAATCCAGCAGAACCACCGTCACGTCCAACTGCTCCCTGGCCCTCAGCGACCTCACCGTGGAAGACGCGGGTTCGTACGTGTGTCTGGAGAACAAGGAGGCGGTCACCGACGTCTACCTGTCGCTGCTGAGCGTCAGCTCGGGTTCTCCGATCACGGAGCTCCGGCCCGGAGGGAACCTCTTCCTCACCTGCATCCTCTTCACCTACTACGACGCAGGCAGCTGCAAGCCGTACTCCAACGTGTTCAGGGTCAACTGGCTGGATGAGGACGGGAAGCGGCTGCCCGGAGACGACAGGAGGTTCATAAGATCGATGTTACGAAGATCGATTTAGGCCGGAAACGATTAATCGGATTACACTGCAAAAACACAAAATCTTAAGTATTTTTGGTCTAGTTTAAATGTCTGAGTACAATTAAAATGTACAAAAAACTTACAAAAAACTTTTCAGCAAGATAAAGATAAAAAAAACTGTATTAACTCCACTGGCAGATTATTTCACTTATTACCTGGTGCTTTTTCAATGATTATTGAATTATTGATATTGATATTTGCACTAGAAACTAGACCAAAAATACTTGGTAAGATTTTGTGATTTTGCACTGTGGCATTCACACCTTACTTACCTAAAATATTTTTGGTACAAATATTTTAGTAAACTTGAAATGAGACCAAACTGACTAACAGGAAGATACATAAACTTGATTTAATTTTATTTTGATAAAAAATAAAATACTAGCTCCAACACTGGAAAAAGTTACTAGAACTAATACTTTTTAAAATCAATATTAAGGAATTAATTTATTTAAAATAAACCCCAAACTTTCTGATTTCCAGTGACTAATTGGTAAATCCAAAAAAATAACAAACATATCAGCTCTACAATATATTCATGTTATATTAAACAGCAAGAGATTTGATGTTTGAAGTACTTATCAGCTGCTGATCTTTTACTTCTAGAAATCTATTACTACAATAATTTAGTTGCAGCTCTAGATTAATTGCACACAGTTCCCAGTACTGACCCTTGTGGTACACCTAGATTACGTTCTTTGTATTGCAGATTTGACACCATTTATTTTAACACAACAATATCTAGGTTAGACTTGAACCAGATCAATTTTTGTTGAGAGAAATTTAGTTGTTTCAGTTTCATCGGTTTGTGGTTTAAAGTGTGAAAAGAGGGAATGTAGCTGCCAGGTGCTGCTAATGTAACGCTTTTACTTCACTTATCAGCTTCAACACCTCTGCAGAAACAGGTTTATTCTACTTGTCTTTATTTGTGTGAAACCATATTGTTCCTGTTGATGACCCAGTTTAGGCCGAACTTCCGCTGACGGACAGATGCCTCTAATTTCACTCTAGAGCGAAGTTTCCCAGTGGTATAGATTCTCTCTGCTCCAATAAACCTCATCCAAATGATTATATCACCTCCTTTATGCCCCATTATGTGCTGGTTGGTAACTAAATGCATCCTCACTATAGTTATGAGCAAATCTTTGTCTATATTCTGCTAATGTCGAGAATTAAATAATAAATTAAATTAAAATCACATGCAAACAAGCTTGTCCACTAGATAAGTCGTTAAAAATCATGGCAGCAAAGCATGTAAACAATTTGTGAGATATATTGATAATTCATCCATGACGGCAGCGCTCATCATTTATCGACCAGCAGATAAAATGGTCGCCACACTGGCGGCCATTTTACAAATGTTATATGGATTAATCACGTCTGACTGGTTCTCAACTTTTTTTTTTATTTTACTATGTGATGCTGTGAACTGCATATTGTCTGAAAAACAAAGCAAAACATCTTTCTACAACTTCCTGTTGTCTTCTTTGTCGTTTTCGGCTGCAGTAAAGTCCGACTCCCGTGACCCGTATGAATTTAAAAAACTGTTTCCATTAACATCTATTCCGATACGGCAGAAAAACGATGGCAGCCCAAAAACTTTTATTAAATGACGTTTTTTTAATCGCCTTGTTTCCATTAAGCAAATTTGTTTTGGTACTTCAATGTGGACTATGCCATAGTTAATGGAAACGCAGATCATATCAGATCAATGCTAACATGGTGAGATGCAAGTTTAGCTTCAAATTCTATCTTGAGATTTTGTTTATTTGCAGTTCCTCAACTCTAACTCATAAATGCAATTATGAAGGTTTTTCACCACAAAAGGAATCTCCAACTAAAAACTGAAAGTATAAGACAGCGTTTATGCTAAAAGAAAGTAATAATTATTGAATAGTGACTTAAAATGAGAAAAAAATCTAAAAGTTGATGTTTCTTTAGGTATTTTTGAAGCATCGACTGCGGGTTTGTGAAAGGGATCAGCTAATGCAAGACATTTAAAAGCTTTCGCTGAAAAAATACAAAATGTTACAAAGTATATTTGACTCGTTTCTAGTGCAAATATCTTAGTAAACTTTAAATAAGACAGAGTCCGTGATCGATACGTCGAGTAACAAAAGTCACATACATTAGCAAAAATATCATGAAATTCCTTTCAAATATTTCGAAATTAGCACCACAAAATCTGTGATTTTTATTGCAAAAAAAAAAAAACACAAAAGCAATCACAAAATGTATTGATATTTTAATAGTTTAGTTTAACTAACCTATCAAAATATTTAAATACATTCTGGCACAACCGGCCCTTTAAGAACATTCAGATTTTTGATATGAAACTGACTTTGACGCCTCTGTTTTAGGCCTATTCAAAGTGTTGGATGATAAGATACAATCTGTGCTGAAGACCTTATTACACAGAACATAAAATATGTATTTTGTCTCCATGCAGGTTCAAGCTGACTGAAAACACTCGGTGCAATGTCACGCTACACATTAAGCTGCAAGCGGAGGACAACAACAGGAAGTGGAGATGTCAAGTGGACACCACAAAGGACAAGAAAATTACATTTCTGGACTTCAGATCCTCCTTTCTGTTTCAAAAGGCCCAGATGAACCAGACTGTGAAGCCGCCGGTCACAGAGGAGTGTCCCGCAGAGCTGCCCATCAGCCGGATCGTTCTGTGTGCGGTTCTGCCGCTCATGGTGAGCATCGTGGGATTCTTCACATGGAAATCAGACCACAAGAGGGCAAAGACCTCAGCAGCTGTCATTGAGCTGCAGGATGTTTACTGACTGACTGCTGATCTATTTGCTGCAAAGAAACTGTAAAATGCAGGAAATGGACCTAAAATGAAGAAAATGGACAATCGTCCCTTGTTACACTGTAAAAACACAGTCTTATCAAGTGTTTTTGTCTGAAATAAGACAAAAATTACTGTTCATCACACTGTTCTCATTTGCAATAATTCTCATTTAGTGTCACCTCCTCTTGTTCTCATATCAAACTGTTTACTTGCATAAATGTTTGTGAAAGTCCACAACGGTGAATCTATTTTTCAATGTCAGTTGCTGCAAATAAATAGAAAAACTCTGCACTGGCTTGCAAAAGTAGTCGTACTCCAGAAGCTTTTTAATATTTTCTATGCTACAATCACAAACTTTAATGTATTTCATCTGGCTTTTATGTGACAAACCAACAAAAAGTAGAAGGAAAAGTAATAATAATAATAAAAGTCATAAAAAGTATGCTGTGCATTTGCATTCTTACTCTACCTCTAAATAAAATAAATTACAAGTTTAATTTAGTAAATCAGTACATTGCGTATAATTGAATTATATTGTAACTCCAGCTGTTTGGTGAAGGCCTCAGAGGTTTAAATATTTATTAAATATTTATGTCCTATTATTACAGCGTACACTAATACAGTACAAACCCTGTAGATCATAATGTTGAAATAAGTTAAACCCTAAACATATTATTTTAAATAATGACTATTGTGTTATTTTCTGGTTTGATTCATTTAATTTGATTTATTTTAGCTGGTTCAACGAGAATTTGTCGTAAAATAATTTGAAATAAAGAAATACTTAATTGAAACATGATTCCAATTTATGGTTTTATCAGTTCTTCCACACAATTCTGGCTGATTCATTTAAATTTCAGCGTGGAATTGGTTAATTCAAACAAACATTTGTTGGAAAGCTTGTTCAATAAAACACCTAATTATTTCAATAAATATTAATCAATCTTTAAATAATTTATTAAAAGACAGAAAACTACATTAATATGAACATACAGTGAAAGCGTAATTTACCAAAGGAACCTGAACGTCACATTGACGTTCCTACGGAAAGCTGAAAGGGACAATTCTGTGTTGTTGGTGTGAAACATCAGCTAGCTGCTTTTGCTACAACATGGCAGCACATTTGAAAAAACGAGTTTATGAGGAGTTTTCCAAAGTTGTTCAGGTAAACCCAAGATGCTGTTTGTTTTTTCCTCGCTTCTTGTTCAGTTATAAACCGAACAGAAAATGTACCGACAGGCTAACTAGCTGGCTAGCTAACGTAGCATAACAACACTCAACCAGTCTCGGTCAAAACCCAGTTTATAACGGTTACCGTGCTCTTTGGGATCGCTTCAATCGGTTCAAATGTAATATTCGAAATTGATTTCAGTCGATAATGTTACAATTATACCCCGAGTTCCGGACTGGGCCAGTTAGGCTTCCTTAACACCAGCTAGCAGGTAGTAAATAAATACAAATGACGTGAATAATCTGTTCTGACAGGAGATACGAACCACGTTTTAATGTGACGTTTTGAAGCAAAGTTTAAAAAAAATAATGTGATTAAACTGATTAAACTGTAAAACATGGCTTGCATTTGTATTCAGCCCCACTGAGTCAATATCGTAGAGTCAGATTTTGACGGATTATACCTGCAGGTTTTGTGGTGTGTATATCACTACAACTTAAAACATATTTGCACTTTACTCTTTGCAAAATAACCAGAGTTGCGTCAGTTTAAATGAAATATTGATTGAGTTTAAAATGCTTTGCGTAATTAGAAGGAGAATAAAGCAATGGAAAACAATGACATGTTTAAAAACAGAATACATGTCATGATGTTACAGTTGTTATTGATCAAATTTGGCTGTAAATAAATGTTTTTTAGCTGTGATTTAAAAGGGACTCAGTGTCTGATCTGATTGAGTTTTCATTCAGACCTGTGAAGACACTGTTGCAGTAATCAATGGATGAGTTTCTCTAGATCGTGCTGGGACTTTTGTATTTTAATCCTGGAAATGTTCTTCAGGTGGTAGAAGGCTGACTTTGTAACTGTCTTCATGTGACTCTGATGGTTCAGATCTGAGTCCAGCATACAAATTTCAAGCTCGATGGCGAGTTTCTAGCAGTAATAAATGAAGCTGTAGATTGCAGATCTAGATTGTGCCTCTTTAGGTCTTTACATAATAGCTCCAGATTCTGCATCAGTGTGAATAATTACATCCTGTAATATGTTTTTTTGGTTATATAATATTACATATTTGGTTAAAATATTAATTCAGTTAGCAAAAATGATAATAATTCCTGCAGATTCCTCATGAAGAAGCTCCAGCCAAGAAGCTGCGCCTGTCCAAGCCCAGTAAATCCGCAGCGCTGCACATCGACCTCTGCAAAGCCGCCAACGCCACCGACGCCCTGCAGTACCTGCTGGAGTTCGCACGCAAACCGGTGGAGGCGGAGAGCGTGGAGGGCGTGATCCGGATCCTGCTGGAGCATTACTACAAGGTGAAGCTAACACCACAGATCCACACACAGTCACCAGGTTTTGGATTTGTTTACAGTTGTTGGTGGTAATAATTCCCTGTTTTGTTTCTCATTTAGGAGACTGATAACTCAGTGAGGCTGAAGATCGCATCTCTCCTGGGTTTGCTGTCCAAAACAAACGGCTTCAGCCCCGACTGCGTCGTAGACGACGTGATTAACACACTTGGAAATGAGAGTGAGACCCGTAGCACTGCTTCAACATGTTCTACCTGGAGTAAAAGTAAAAAGTCCAAGAGATTACTCAAACAAGTATTGGGTAAAAAAAACCTACTGAGTAACTCATCAAAACATAATTTTAATATTTAAAAAATACATAATCAGGAGGTTAAAAAAGGAAGTCATGCGGAGAGTTTGGTATTTGAAATATGGAAGAGAATTAGTGCCACTGGAATAAAAAAAATACAAAAAGAATTGTTGTTTTTTTAATCATAATCCTGATTTTTGACCTTAGATGATTAGTCATATTTTCTGAGAGAATTGTCAGAAATCTGGGATTAAAGTCAGAAATCTGACATTAAAATCCAAATTCTGAGATTAAAGTCAGGATTAAGTAAAAAATCTGAGATTAAAGTCTGATTATTTTTTCCCAGTGTTATTAATCATCTTTCATATTTAAAGACCCAAATGAATTAATTCATATAAATAACATAATCACAAAATAATAAAACCAGGCAAAATATAATAATTTTCCAAATCAGCTTCTTTCAATAAAAAAGAAGCTGGAAACTGGTGAAACTGTTACAGAAACTGCAGGTTTTTGGTTAAAATGTTTGTTTTTCATTCATAATCAAGATATTTAACTCAAGTAAAAGTAAAAATACTCCTAAAAGTTTTTTGTTTTTTTTCCAAAACCAGTTACTCCAGTAATGTAACTATTTCCAGCCCAGCTGCAGATCCAGTTCTGATGACGGTTTATGAAATGTCTCCAGAATCCCATCAGGTTCTGGCTCAGCTGCTGGACTCCCTGCTGCTGATCGGCGGCCAGCTCCCAGAGAGTCCGGCCGTCAGGCGGCGCCTCGTCCAGGTGGCCTGCAAGGTGAAGCTGCCTGGGTGAAATCTGGGCGTCGCCGTGGGGACGCCGCGCCGCCATCTTGAATGTCTTCCTGTTTCTCCTCTTCAGCTTCTCTCCGACACGAACTTTGGGGTGAGGAACAAATGTCTGCAGCTGCTGGGGTTCCTGGGAACTGTGGAAACGCCTCTGACCAAAGACGGCGAGGGACCGAGCTCATCGCTAGGTCTGAAACATCCGACCGTACAGCCGACCGTACATCCGACCGTGCATCCGACCGTACATCCGACCGTGCATCCGACCGTACATCCGACCGTACATCCGACCGTGCATCCCTCCATACTTTGAGCCTTTAGTTCGTTACTGTAGTAAACATCAGATGTTAATTCTTGATAAATTTTTCTTTTTATTCTTTAACAATGAAATAATCGAATAAAAATCTTACCATGAATAATTTGCAGTAACTGTCACCAGCCTTATCAATTTAGTATATTTAATTTCTGCTGCTGTGACACAAACCTTGAAAATCATCACCTAGAAAGTAAAATTGTGTTTGGATTGCTGCTAAATGTGTCGGAGTGTTTGCTGTGTGGCTCTGCAGGAGGAGTCCGGGACGTCCAGAGTATCATCAGCACCTACTTCTCAGACCAGGACCCCAGAGTTCGCGCCGCAGCGCTCAAAGCTATGGTACCACCAGCCACTCTCCCTCCAGCTGCACCGTTAAATTACTGCTTTTTTCATTTTTTTTATTAAGATTTTGTTTACTTATTTTCCAGCTGCAGCTTCATGAGCGAGGAATGAAGATTCATCAGATCATTTATGAACAGGTGCTCACAGATAAACAAAACATAAACAAAGCAGCAATATTTAGATGTTTAAATGAATCCTGTTACACAATTAACAAAAAAACTACAAGGATTTAGTTATAATCAGCATTTTTAAGACGCATATTTAATTCAGCAGTTAACAGATGGCTGATTGATGGATTTATAAAACTCTGTTAGGAAGGGGTAGCTACGCAGAGTGGCCGGGTCCAAACGTTTCAGCAGGAACCAATAAAATCTCCAGGTTTTTAAGGAAACATCAAGTAAGGAAAACAATAAAGTGTCTGAACAGAAAACCTACAGATATAAACAAGTAAAGAAAATGAAGGACAGATGGTTGGAAACTGTTGAATCCAAATGTGATGCACTTTGACTCTCTCCTCTCAGATTTAATTATAAACTTTAATTAAATCGGTCGATCAGCTGCTGCAGAAGGAAAATGTTGATATTTTTCACGTTTCCAGGCCTGCAGGCTGCTGTCTGACGACTATGAGCAGGTCCGCTCTGCCGCTGTGCAGATGGTCTGGGTGCTCAGCCAGCTCTACTCAGAAAGGTAAAGATCAAACCATAACGCTTCCTCTAAATCACAGGTGTCAAACTTGAGGCGCATGGGCCAAATCCGGCCCTTTGTAGCTTTTTATGTGGTCCTCTGGACTCCAGAAGGAGTGTTTTAGGTCTGGTTTCTACTGTAAATATTATATTACACTTGAAATAAGACAAGTAACTTTTCAGCTTTAGGTAAATAATTTCTTAAAAAAGTTCTAGTTCCACTAGCAGATTATTCCACTTATAACAAGACATTTTCCTCGTGTTATAAATTAAATAATCTGCCATTTAAACTTGAGCTTTTTTGTGAATATTAAGGAGTATTTACTTAAAACAAACTCCCACATTTTGCTGAAACGCTGCGTATTTCAGGTGTACTAACATATTAGCACTTAAAAATTAGACAAAAATACTTGGTAAGATTTTGAGCTTTTGTGGTGAAGAGACTTCAAAATAACAGGTGTATGCTTCAAGATGAGGTTTTTTTTTTCAGCAAAATCAAATCAGTTTTTATTTATTTATTGTCAAATTAATCAATCA